TGTGCTCATTGGAACGGTTTCATAAACACACGTTCAGTAAACGAAGCAGTGGAGGTGCATACAATATTTAGAGACTTCTAAAAAAGATATTAAAAATAAGAAGCTTTAGTAAATAATGACCAAGACCAGCTCCAGAGCCGAAATAAGATGAAGCTCATTAAATGGAAACAGTTTTCCAGATTCAAGTCACAGATCAAACTTCAGCTCTAATGCCTTTCTTTTTTTTTCTTTTCCTTTTTCTTTTTATTGTTGAGAACTTATTCAGGGTACAGAGATCCAGGTTACACGTAGCTTGCATTTGTTAGGTAAAGCCTCTCTTATAATTGTGTCCTGCCCCCAAAAGTTGTGTCACACACCGTGATCCCGACACACACACTCTAATGCCTTTCTTTACCCGAATCTTTGGCATTTCAGACCCATGCCAGTAAAACTTTTCTTTTTCCTTGGGGTTTTTTTTTTTTTTTTTTTACTCATTGCTTTAATTTTTGTTATGAGAACTTTCTCTTCCAAATTGGGTGATGTTGCAGTTATTTCAGTTGTCTATCCATGTAGATAACTAAAAACAGCAAAAATCTTAGTAATTCTGTTTCATGTCTGTCTGTTCTCCACCCACCCCATCCCACCTCCACTTCCTACCATACATTGCAGCATTCCCCTGTACTTGCCTACACTGCCAACAGACCCCAAAATAGACAAGTTTGAGCTTCAACTGCTTTTATTTTTTCCTTCTAGTTCTCTTAAAATACATAGCAAAATGCTCTCACAGGCAAGCTAAGAGAATAAGGAGGAGGAAGGATTCTCCCAGTGTAGTTATTCAGCCTCCAAAGTGTTGATTGTAAGGAACTGAACTTTCAAAATGAGTTCTAGATTTAGTATATGGTAATAACTTGAGGATTTTTTTTCTCATTTTATTTTCAGAAAATAAAGTTAAAGCTGAATGGGCTTTAACGAGTTAGTCAGAATTTTGCCATATTTAAGAGGCATAGTAATAGTTAAGATTAATGTGAGATAATTATAAAAGAGCCACTGGAAGGGAAGATAAGAGAGTAATATGTTTTCAATGAGACTGTCAGTGGACTAATACTATTAGTATTAGACTGTCTCTAATACTATGGAAAAGGGAAGGAGGGTCAGATCCGGTTAGATTTGGTACATTAAAGAAAAAATTGGGAGACTCAAGCTGCATTAACTGGAGGGACCTGCCTATAATAAGGAGAAAATGTGTCATTGGAGGCAGAAAATAGGAAATTTTGCTTGAATGTGCAACACCTCAGCGTTGGAAGTAAGAATAATAATGGAAATGATTATAGGAGACCCTCAACAGGTTTCCAAGATGGGAAGATCATGCTTAGTATATTAGAGGGAATAAGCGCAAGCCAGCAGGGCTTGTTGTTACTGTTGAATCTTCCTGCAATCTTCTATTCGGTCGTTGGGTCTAACTGCTGAAGCCAGGGGTTTGGCTGTAACATGTAGAAGCAGGTGCTTCTCCCGATGTGGCTGTCTCTAGCTGTTAGGCCATAATCGCATCATTCATTCTCCTGCACTCACTTCTTATATATTGCTATCTAACCCTGCAGCCGTTGCTGCAGCTGATTCCCTTTGATATCGTTTTCTTTGTAAAGATTTCTTCTTTGATAGTTATAGTGATCAAGCTTGTGCTATTAAATTTCTGCCTGCCCCTCCCTGGAAGAGTACAGGGATGGAAAGGTAACTCATTGTCGATAGAGCCGTCATTGTTCAAAATGAGAACTCTACTATCATTTTAAGCTGCTTATGAGAAGATTTAAGATCAACTGGCTTAAATTCATCCCTTAGCCCGTGGCGTTCTCTATTCTAACACATACAAGAACTCCTTGATTCTCTCTTATAGACTTTGCTATCCAATCACACCAATGTCAGAATCTACCAGCTGTAACAAAATCATTTGCATTTCTCTTCTGGGCTGTGGAGGAGAGGAAGACTAATCATGGAAAAAGACCAGGTGAAAGCCTCACACGAATAAAAAAAAATTAAGAGTCTTCTTTGTACATAATTCTCAAAGACATCTATTTAAATCTCATCTGTTGAGATTTTTTAGCAACCTATGCCGACTCCTGTAAGAAAAATGTTGTGTTTGGTGCATGCAGACTTTAAGTTGTAAATTAAAGTTATTATGCTTAAATAGTTGTAGGCTAGTTGGTAGAGCTTTAAATGCAGTTTCATTTAATAGTCAGCATTTATTAAGCACCGTCTGTGTTTCAATATTGTTACATATTGTGCATTCACAGAGAAGAATAAGGTGTCTTAAGGGACTAAAGGGAGAAGGGTAGATGGGTATAAAAGAGAGGGTGTTTTTTAAAAGCTAAAGGGGCTCGGCGCCTATAGCTCAACCGGCTAAGGCGCCAGCCACGTACACCTAAGGTAGCAGGTTCGAATCCCCAGCCCGGACCCGCCAAACAACAACGACGGCTGCAACCAAAAAATAGCCAGGTGTTGTGGCAGGTGCCTGTAGTCCCAGCTACTTGGGAGGCAGAGGCAGGAGACTCGCTTGAGCCCAGGAGTTAGAGGTTGCTGTGAGCTATAATGCCACGGCACTCTACCCAGGGGGACAGCTTGAGGCTCTGTCTCAAAAAAAAAAAAAAAAAAAAGCTAAAGGAATAAGTTATACATACACACACATGCACACATATGTGTGCAAAGAATAAAGTAAAGGGAAAATACAAATGGAATACAGAGAGGATAGATTTTCCTATAGGGGATCCAGGAAGACTTATGGAAGAGGTATTATTTCCCTTAATGAATGAAAATATTTATTTTCTCATAGAAGTAGCTATAATGATGCTATTAGTAATGACGATCCTGACCACAGGGCCCCTCCTGAACATTATGTGAATTTCAGAACTCTGGGAGGGGCCACTAGAAGGTGGAGGCTCTAATAGCTGGCCATCTGCCATTGTCAGTTTGAGAAGCCTCCCATAAGCTTGAAAATGATGAGCAGATTGTCCCATTGATTTTATTGCAGTTTAATTTTATGATTCTTTCTTGAGTCCCTGATATGTATTAAAAACACTCCGTGGAGACAAGGATAAATCAAGCTCTATCTCCTCCATCTCTAACTAGTGTGTGGGGGTATAAACATGTAACACTACCAAGTAAAACATAAGGCAGAGTGGTCATGGGGTGTAGAAGCGTAAACTAAGGGCTGTGGAAGCACAGAGGACGAAGGAGTTGGTGTGGTATTTTGACTGCATGCTGAAATAAGTGATATTTTAAAGGTGGAAAAGAAAAAAAGGTATGGCCCAGAGAAGAAATAGCAGGTATGTAAACATACGATATGAATAGTAATGCTGGCACATCCAAGGACAAATTGGAATAGAGTGGGACTGGGTTATAAAAGACTGTAAATGATAATATGAAGAGATAGAGCTGATTCTGTAAGTAGAAGGAAGTCAGCAAATGTTTTTGAGCAGGAAGAAAGCAGGATCTGATTCTTTGATATTCTCTGTGCTATGTACGAGTGGATGGCTTAGAGCAGTGGTTCTCACCCTTCCTAATGCCTCCTAATGCTGCGACTCTTTAATACGGTTCCTCATGTTGTGGTGACCCCCAACCATAAAATTACTTTCGTTGCTACTTCATAACTGTAATTTTGCTACTGTTATGAATCATAATGTAAATATCTGATATGCAGGATGTATTTCATTGTTCCAAAGGGGTCCCGACCCACAGGTTGAGAACTGCTGCCCTAGAGAGAAATGAAATAGATATAGATAGTAAAAGATTGTATGATTCTAGAGATGATAGGAGTATGAATTGAGATGGTGGGGGCAGAACTTAAGAGTGGTAGTGGGCTTGCATGGTGACATGCTTCTAGTCTCAGCTACCTGGGAAGCCGAGGTGAGAGGACCAATCGCCAAAGTTCAGGGATTCAGGTTTGTAGTATGCTATGATCGTGCGTGTGGATAGGCACTGCACTCCAGCCTGGCAACAGAGTGAGATGCTATCTTTAAAAAAAAGAGCGGTATCAGAACCAGAGATATAAATTTGGGGAATTACCCCAAAGAAATCACAGTGGAAATGGTAAGAGCACAGAACTATCTCTCAAAAAAAAAAAAATAGAGCAAGGAGAGGCAATCAAAATCAGCAGGTGTCTGCCTGAAAACACCTTCTGGAGTAGGTAGAAAGAAGGAAAGCAACTACATAGTAACAAAAGAAGACAGTTGTCAATAAGAGAGGGAAGCTAGGAAAAGAGGAAAGAGTTTCAGAGAGTCGGACCGCGCTTAGCATTTTCAGATGCCGAGGGATATCCTGTCCCTCATACAGGTTGTTCGTAAGTAAAAGTGTTTATATGTCAGTGACTCTATATCCTTGCTCGATTTCTTAGCTTCCTTCCCCAGGACTCACCCCTCTCACCTCCCATCAGCTCCCACTTAATAGTAGGAAGAGGAGAAAAGAAGGGCAAGTTCAGGCACAAAGAGAGTTGAAGTTAAAATGCACGTGCTCTTTGTTCAGTTTGTAAATAAGTTGCATAGTCTTCATTTTGAACATTCAGTCTCAATGATAATGTTACTTTGTCTAATTTGAAGTGGTCGTAAGTGTGTTTGTTATAAGAAGTAAAAATAATATGAACATTTGGGGTCTAGTTGAGTAGATTTACATGTACATACTGATTCTAGTCTGTTCTTGACATCAACCATTCAGTTTCATTTTGGTTTTAAAGGAACAGATACCACTCGCCTCTCTCTGCCTAGGTTTATGAGAAGAGCAGTGCCGGTTTTGCTGACACAAATCAATCCTATTTACTTTTAGTTAACCAGATCTCTTTTGCATTCTAACTCAGGTATATCTCTGTTTCACTATTTTTTTTTTTAAGTTTAAGGGTCTGGTTGTATAGTTTCTAAATATTTTCTTTTCATATTTAATATTCAGACTTAAATGATTTGGAACACTTACTCTAGTGACTAAGAGACTAAGATTTTCTGAGTTATGATAACATGGGTTGTGTCCATTTGCCTTTCTAGATTTTGGCTTTAGTAACCTCTTCACTCCTGGGCAGCTGCTGAAGACCTGGTGTGGTAGCCCTCCTTATGCTGCACCCGAACTCTTTGAAGGAAAAGAATATGATGGGCCCAAAGTGGACATCTGGGTAAGTGACGACCTTCTCTTCCACGCCATGGCATTACCCTGATTCATGACAGCTGTCCTTCTGGGGCACACACCATGCTGCATGTGAATTGAGATCACGGTCACCTGTTCTTTCAAGTTCCAGTCTTTGTGCAAAGTCTTTCTTCCAGTGCTTCCTTATGAGCTGAGCCACAGGTTTCAAACGACCCCTCTGCATCTGCAAGAGAACTCCAGGAGTCAGCTTGGATGGGGGTGCCCTTCCCAAGATCTGAGATTCCTGTTGTTGCTACTTGCCTTATCCCTAGAGAATGAGTCTGAGAAAAATTGGGGGTGTTACCTGAAGTTAATGTCCAGAAGTAAAGAAGAGTGTTAACTGTTCTAAAGATGATTGGCCTGGATAATACCCCGTGTTATTTATTTTTTTCAGTGCGATTGATATTTATTAACATTAATACCCCATGTTATTGTTCATGAAAAAAAGAAAAAAACTGTTCCACAATCTTGTGCATTACTCACCATGACTTGTGTGAAGATGTGCGTGTTTGAACACTACAAACCTCTTGTGTTTCCTCTAATTGTACTTACTCTCTGTTTGGGATGCAGAGCCTTGGAGTTGTCCTCTATGTGCTTGTGTGTGGTGCCCTGCCATTTGATGGGAGCACACTGCAGAATCTGCGGGCCCGGGTGCTGAGTGGAAAGTTCCGCATCCCATTTTTTATGTCCACAGGTAAGGGAGTTGCCTGCACACAGCTGGGTTCATGAAAAGTTAGATGTGTTGCGCTGTCCCAGGAGTGTAGTGATGGAGTACCTTTCTTAGCTCCAATTTGCTGACCTGATGCCTCCAGGAGGCAAGGTTCTGCAGGACAGAGTGTAAAGGCTTTAGCACCAGATGGGCCCTCTCAGGCTGGAATTTAGGCCCTGCATAATGCGAAGTCTGAGTTTTAGTCCTCGTCTAAGCTGACTGAGAGTTCTGTGGGGACTATCACTGTAAGAATTCAATTAAGTACTATATGTTACAAATTGATAGGCCCATCACACAGCAGCAACGCATTAAATGTTTCTGTTTCGCTTTCCCCATCCCTCAGTTTTTCAGGATAATATTTCCATTAACTGGTGCCCCATTGCGATGTTGTTTTAAATGCCAAGGATAAAGCAGGCTTTGCATCTTAAGTCTTGCTTCTTCACTTCCTAATTCTATGATATTTCTCTCCCAGACTCAAATGAAAAAAAAATTTTTAATGAGTGGGCAGTAGAGTAGGTAGATCTTAAAAAAAAGTTAACTCTGTTTAGAAACAGATTCCAAGTATCCAGAATCTACAGTATTTTATCACCATTTATTTACACACAATAAGAACACTTTAGGGACAATACAGAAATCAGTATATTTAGTTTTGGTTAATCTTCTGTTTTCATTTTAAGGAAGAAAATAGATCCACTAGGTTGACAACAAAGAATAATCACATAGGAATGGCATTTTAGAGTAAAGTGGTAGGTGGTGCCTGTGGTTCAGTGGGCAGGGCACCAGCCCCATATACCAAGGATGGCGGGTTCAAACCCTGCCCTGGCCAAACTCAACAAAAAAATAGCCGGGTGTTGTGGTGGGTGGCTGTAGTCCCAGCTACTCTGGAGGCTGAGGCAATAGAATCACTTAAGCCCAGGAATTGCAGGTTGCTGTGAGCTGTGTGACGTCACAACACTCTACTGAGGGTAATAAAGTGACACTCTGTCTCTACAAAAAAAAAAAAAATCTAATAGAGTGGTGAAACTTGGACCAGATTTAACCTTACATTTCCTTTGGATTGATGACTTGATTCTATATCAGATAGTCCTGAATGCTGTGGGAAAAATAAAATAAGAAGGAGTTTAAGATGGAAGATGGGGCTCGGCGCCTATAGCTTAACCGGCTAAGGCGCCAGCCACGTACACCTAAGGTGGCGGGTTCGAATCCCCAGCCCGGACCCGCCAAACAACAATGACGGCTGCAACCAAAAAATAGCCGGGCGTTGTGGCGGGCGCCTGTGGTCCCAGCTACTTGGGAGGCTGAGGCAGGAGACTCGCTTGAGCCCAGGAGTTGGAGGTTGCTGTGAGCGTGATGCCATGGCACTCTACCCAGGGGGACAGCTTGAGGCTGTGTGTCAAAAAAAAAAAAAAAAAAAAAAAGAAAAGAAAAGATGGAAGATGGTAGGTTGTTCAACCACCCCTGCACCGAGAAATTGACCTTTCGGCACAGCTAGAAGCAGGTGTGGGTGTGAGCTGTGCTGTCTGTGCAAGAGCATTCCCAGCCGGGAACGGCAAGTGCAAAGCCCAGGGAGGACCATGCTGGAGTGTTCAGGGAGCCGGAAGGAGGCCTGTGTGCTGGGAAAGCAGAAGTGATGAGAGAACAGAGATGAGGTCAGAGAGAGGAGAGGGAGCTTAATTTTAGGGTCCAGGCAGTCACTATAAAGACGTTAATGCTTACCCCACGTGAAATGTGATGGATTGGAGGGTTTGGGTAGAGGAGTGACATAATCTGACTTTGTTTTGTTCCAAAGTTTATTATGAAAATTTTGAAACATACAAAATGTGGAAAGAATTTTACAGTGAATTGTGTTTAGAAGAGATCACTGTAGCTGCTGTGTTGTCAGTAGGTTGAAAGGTGCAGGGGCTGAAGGAGCGACACCAGTGAGTGGGAGACTGTTCCGATCATCTGGGTGAGAGATACTGGTAGCCAGTTCTCAGACAGGGGCGTTGCAGTGGAGATAGTAAGAAGTGGTCAGATTTAAGAGATGCTGCCGACTATTGGGCAGGCACTGTTCAAAGCATTTTACAAACATTAACTCATTTAATTATCATAACAACCCTGGGAGATATGTAAGATTATCACCCCCATTTCACTGGTGATAAAACTGAATCCAGGAGAGGTTAATTAAACACTTTCTCCAAGATACCACAGCTACCAAGTACCTGAACTAGAAATTGAACCCAGGCAGTCTGGCTCCACCAACATTTAGTGTGGTACTTGAGGTGAAAGAAAGAGAATAATTAAAGGTGAATTCCAGGATCCTGCCATGAGCAAGTACAAAGGTGGATTTACTTCTAACTAAGAAGGGGATGACTAGGAAAGAATATTTATGCTTTGGATAGATGCTTTAAACATGTCAAGTTGGAGATGCCCATTAGACACTTGTGTTGAGGTATCGGATAGGTGGTTGAATTTAGGAGAGTTCTGGGGTAGGGGTATACAGTTGGGAATCATCAGTGTACAAATAATATTTAAAGCAATGAGATGAGATCACTTTTTAGGCATTGATTATAGAGAAGAAGTCCGAGGATTAAGTTCTGGAACATACTAAGGGTCATAGAATGGGGGAGGGAAGCCAGAGAGCCTGCTGTCCTAGAAGAGAAGTGAAGAAAATGTTCCAAGGAGTGAGGACCGTGGGGATTGCTGTGCTGAATCTAGTAGAGGACTGAGAACTGAATGTTGGATTTAGAAATGTGGAGCTCTTTAATGATTTTGAAGTGTACTTGAGGTGGAAGGGCAGAGACAAAAGCTTAAATCATGGCTGCAACAGAAAAGAAATAGAAGGAAAATGGACAAAGGAAGTAGACAGAACTCTGTCCAATTTCACTAGAAAAGGAAACAGAAGGGGCCCAGTATCGCCGTGGCCAGGGTCACAGTGATCTCATCATTCATCCCCTGCGTATCCTCAGACTTTATCTTAGTGACTGCCCACCACTAATTAGCACTTCACCACTACTTTTTTCTTTTAATTGAATTTGTGTTTTAGAGCAATTTTAGGTTCACAGCAGAATTGAGTGGAAGGTACAGTGTTTCCATGTGCCTCACCCCCCTCCCCAGACCTCCTCACCCGGCCCCTTAGGCACAGCTTCCTCTACTGTCCCCGTCGCCACCAGAGTGGGCTGGTCCATAGCTGATGGGCTCTCAGTGGCTCTCTCAGTGCTGTACCGTCTGTGGGTTCCTATAAACGACAGCGTGTGAAATGTAGCCATCATCATAGTATCATCATACAGAATGTTAAAGGCACATATGTTCCACCTGTTTATCCCCTGTCTCCCTGCCCCTGGCAACCATGCTTTTATCGTCTCCCTGAGTATTGCCTTTCCAGAACGTTCCACGGTTGGAAACATACAGACAGCATGCAGCCTTTCTCATTGGCTTTTTTCACTTAGTGATATGCAGTAAGGTTCTCCCATGTCTTTATAGCCCTTTTCTGTTTAGCGCTGAATAATATTTCATTGTTGGATGAAGTACAGCTTATTTATCCTTTCAGCTCCTATGGACATCTTGGTTGCTTCCAAGTTTTGACAGTTTATGAATAAAGCTACTGTAACATCCTCAGACAGATTTCTGTGTGGACATAAATTTTCAACTCATTTGAGTCAATACCAAGGAGCACAATTGCTGGACAGACAATATGGGAAGAGAATGCTTAGTTTTGTGGGAAACTGCCAAACTGTCTTCCAAACTGGTCCCACCAGCATTAAACAAGAATTCCTGTTGCCACATCCTCACCAGCATTTTGTGTTGGCAGTGTTTTGGATTTGGGATGCTCTTCATAGAAGGGTAGTGGTATCGAATTGTTTTAATTTGCAATTCTCTAATGATGTATGATGATGAGCATTTTTTCATATTGCTAATTTGCATTGCTATCTGTATTTTTGGCGAGGTGTCTCTGGGTCTTTTTTCCATTTTTTTATTTGAGTTGTTCATTTTCTCATTTTTGAAAATTTCAAATTAATAGATGAGGGTACAAATGATGAGGTTACAATGTTTGCATTTGTTAGGTAAGGGCCTGTTGTAGTTGTGTCCTGCACCCAGGAGGTGTGCCATACACCCTTACATTGTATCCATTAGGTGGGAGCACCCCAACCCTCTCCCTCCTGCTTTTTCCCACCTCCCCTCAACTTGAATTGAGTTTTTCTCTTGTGTGAGTGTTTTAGTTTGTCTCCTGGCTTCATATTAGTATTGAGTACATTGGATACTT